GGAAAAGCAAACATCAATGTTTCACGAATTCTGCCAATATCAACTAAGATGGGTGGAGCTTTGCCCTTCCTCATACCACTTTTTGTAGGCTTGAGTGCAACTAGCGCTCTATCTGGTGGCGCCGCGGGAATCGCAAAAGCCGTGAACGATGCAAAGTCTGCAAAACAGCAATTGGAAGAGAACAAGAGACACAACAAAACGATGGAGACCATTACTCTGGGAAAAGGCCTGTATCTCAAACCTTATAAAAAAGGCTATGGACTTTATCTCAAACCTTATCTGGGATCAGGTTTGAAAAAAAAAGTTCGAAATAAATTTACCGGATAGAGCCCTCACAAATGCCGACTTGATGAAGTATGCTAAAGTTTTGAGTATACCAAATTTTCGCGGATTCTTCATGAGAAATGACTTACCGAGTTCTGGACCATATTATCACGAATCAGCTATAGTCAATCTTGATGGCGTCGAAGAAACAGGAACGCACTGGGTGGCTTATCGCAAAATCGGAAAAAACGTCACATATTTCGATAGCTTTGGAGATCTTAGACCACCTATTGATTTAATGATGTATCTTGGCGATATCGAGATCAAATATAATACGAAAAGATATCAAGATTTCAATTCTCACGTATGCGGTCATTTTTGCTTACAGTTTTTGTGTGAGGGTATAAAAGTAAAGGCAACGTGAAAATATCGGTAGTCATGTTCACACAGTCATGGAGGATTCATTAACTCTGACGCTCTCGGGTAATTCTTCACTGTTGGAAGCGCACTATTTTCCACCAATCGAACTATCACAGCATAAACATTACAAGTTGGGCTTAGTGGAGTTTTTAACGTTCAACTCGATACCTAATATCGACGTACATAATAATAAATTTTACGTCGCAAATCAAATTATCGACATACCTATCGGGACCTACGAGATCGACGACATTGATAAATTTTTTCGCAAAGCTGTGCAGTCTCTCCGTACTGATAATAATAATAATATAATATTTAGTTTGAAACCAAACAACAACACCTTGCATTGTACAATCAAGTGTTCCGAACCTATCGATTTTCGTCCGCAGAATTCTATCGGACGATTGTTGGGTTTTTCACAACGTACATTAGAGGCAAACGTTTCTCACAACTCTGATCTTCCCGTCAGTATTCTCAGAGTGAACGCTGTGAGAGTCGAGTGTAATATAACCGCTGGAGCTTACTTGAACGAAAACACCGTTCACGATATTCACGAATTTTTTCCAGCAGTACCGCCTGGATATAAAATTATTGAAATTCCCTCTCGCGTGATGTATCTTCCAGTTACGAAAAAGTCTATAGATTATTTACAATTACGCATCGTCGATCAAGACGAAAATTTAATTAATTTTCGCGGTGAAGTCATAACCATCAGATTACACTACAAAAGCGTATAATGGGAATTGTTTACGATTCAAAGAGTGGTAGGGACTATATAAGCATTAAAAAATGCAAACCCATCATCAGTCGTCGACTGAAATTGAAAACGTCAACACGACGAACTCCAGTCATCAACCGTCATCGGAAAGCGAAAGCTTTAACACGTCAAAGCATAAAATTCCTAAAAGGTCTTAGGTTAAGAGTAGTTCCATGTGGAAAATAAATTGCCTAATTTTTTCTTTTTGCTGCTGCTTTCATCGAAACAATGGAGAACATTCTAGAAATACAGTCACCTATCGTTGTCGATTAATCTTTGGCTCATTACGAGATCCACGCTCATCAACCTTACACCAATTCATCGTTCAAAAATAGTGACGAGATTCGTATACCAATTCAACATCAAGACTTGTGCCTTTTACCATCTCGCAGCTCGTTACACATTTGTGGACGATTACGCAGCAACAATAACACTTTGTTAACGAATACTGATTTTGTTAATAATGCCATTTGTCACATGTTTGAAGAAATTAGGTATGAGCTGAATGCTATAGAAATAGATAAATGTAAGAACGTTGGTCTCACAACCGTTATGAAGAACTGGTATCTCTCACTCCAACTCAAACCTTTATTGCCGAAAATGCCGGATGGATAAATACCTTAGAACAAGAGGACCGTAAAATAACTAATGCGAATGGTGACTTTGACATTTTGATTCCTTTGAGCTTCATACTTGGATTCGCTGAGGACTATCGCAAAGTGCTAGTGAATATGAAACATGAATTAATTCTCGTAAGATCGAGTACTGATTTAAATGCAGTTTATCAAACGAAGAAGACCGTGGCCGACGTTGAAGCTTACGAAGAATTCAAGATTAATGTAAGACGTCTCGAATGGCTTATGCCCTATGTGACTGCCTCGAATGCAAAGAAAATACATCTACTCGACTTTCTAAAAAGCGAACGAAGTATTTTAATGAGTTTTCGTAGTTGGGAACTGTAATATCCAGCGCTGCCTGCAAACACAAATCACGTTTGGACAGTTAAAAAGACAAATCAGTTGGAGAAATCACGCTACGTCATCTTAGCCTTTCAAACCAATCGAAAAAATGAACCAAACTCTAACGCTAGTATATTTGATCATTGTAACATCAGAAATATAAAACTGTACCTGAACTCTCGGTGCTATCCATACGGTAATCTCAACATTGATTTCAGTAAAAACCAGTACGCAATGTTGGACGATATGTATGCCAATTTTCAAAACGTATACTACGGTAAGGATGCCGAACCGATACTCAAAAAACTCGAATATAAAAATTACATGCCACTCGTAGTGATTGACTGTTCGAAACAAAACGAATCATTAAAGACTGCTCCAGTAGATGTGCGCTTGGAGTTCGAAACCAGAGAAAATATTCCCGAAGGAACTACACCGTATTGTCTTATTCTACACGATCGCATCGTTCAGTATAATCCGATAGAGATGTGAAGAAACTTATTTAGGAGTCGGGGGGGGGGAAGGGTATTAAAGAATTGACTCTTTCCTTAAGCAGCTCAGTATCAGCTTTCTATCGCAATGGAGTACGTAGTGGATATGCAAGGCTTCATGATGCCTGGCAAAACTTATGCTGTGAAAGAGTTAGCGATACTTCCACTTAACTACAACGAAGAACCGCTCGTACGCTTGTTCAAACCTCCCTTTCCACGGCGAAGACTAACGGAGAAATATAAGCGAAAAAATCTCTGGTTAGAACTCTACTGTCATGGATTAACATGGAACTCTGACGATTATAAATACGAAGAGCATAAATTCATCATCACAGATACACTCAAAGATGCCACAAAAATTTTGTTTCCGGAGATTTGAAAAAAGAGTGGTTAGAACGATATGTCCTCCAAGTTTTCGCTGACTCTGACGATGACAGCAGCAGCAGCAGTTCATCTTTTTATAATAAATTTTGTATTTTTTTTATCAACAAAAAAAATTTATACAACATAGAATTTAGATGAAAAAAAATGTTTATTTATTAGTTGAGGTGGTGTATAATGATGACATGTATAAATATGATTATTATTTCTTCTTTTCGTTATTGAACTGCTGATAGCCTTTTTGTTCAGGAAAATTTTTAGTATTGACGGAAAATTTGGAAATACTTTGTTTCCATGTTGATGATTCTTTGTTCTTCTTTTCGTCCGGGTCTTCCTGTGGAAGACGGGAGTACTTTACTTTAGAGTAGCGATCCATTTTATTGGAATGCTGGTTGATGAAAGATTCGATAATTCTTACACTGTGCTATTTATAGTAGCTTACAATCACGAAGTCTACAAATAAAAGAAAGTAAGCAGGTACTTGCACGTTTTTTCTATTAAACCATCTTCGGTAGATGAGACACGCATGCACACACACACGCGCGCACGCGCACATTGAATAGCAAAAAAAATTATTCGTTATAGACCATTTATAATAAATATTTATGTATAATATTTATTATAATTAGTATATTAAAATTTATTATCATTTGTATGTATTAGTGCTTGGGCCCTCCCCAGCAGCAGCCGCCGGCGCCGCCCCCCTATCAATCGTGTAGCTAGTATACACAATACGGTATTGCCCGTAGTAACAGTGGCTGTAGCTCTAGCGGTAGAGCATCGGCCTGCGGATCCGGAGGACGCGCGTTCGATCCCCCGATCCGTCCGTTTTTTTTCAGATAAATCTAAAAATTTAACACACACACACACACAATAAAAAAATCAAAACGCGTAACACAGAACGCGCGCAGTGCACAGAAATCAAATCAGTAGGCTAGGCTGGGAGAGGGTGAAGTGCAGAGAACGCACACCACATCAGATCAAGCCACATTAGATCAACTTAGTAGGGGAGGGGGAGTGCGTAGAACACACCGGTATAACTCAGTAGGAGGCGGGGGAGGTGACGCGCGCAGTGCATAGGAATCAAATCAGTAGGCTGGGAGAGGGGGAAGAACGCACGCCACATCTGATCAACTTAGTAGGGAAGGGGGGAGTGCGTAGAACGTACCAGTATAACTCAGTAGGAGGAGGGGAGGTGAGTCGATAACGCACGGGCCGATCAGCGGGGGGGGGGGGGGGGGGTGAGGTAAACATGCACACACCTCAACTCACACGCTTCAAGTCAGTGAGCTGATACCCCTCTGAGTTGAGGCCCCTCTAGTTTACCTACTGATACCATTAAAATCTAACAAGTAGACAGATTTTCAGAATATTTTTTAATATGAAAATTCTATTGTAATATTTGTGCTTTGCTAGAAAGACGATCTATTCTTATTATGTGAAACATTACAATTTTTGTTTGAATACCAATAATCTGGAATAAACATGAGTGAGAATCAAATATTTTACAAATAAAATATATCCTAATTATTATTGCGTAATGTAAATAATTATAAAATATGGAAATCCATAGTTTATTAGTTTTTACGGAAATACTCCAATTTAGTTGGTAGCACTTCAAATATATGTTTATTATTTTTTATTAGGTGAATGGTTCATTTCTTGTAGTATTTCGTGTCAATATATTGTGTCTTAAAATTTGTTTTAAATATCTTTATTCTTTTTCAGGCTCTTTACGGTTTAAAATCAGAAGCTATCGAAATAGGAACAAAACATCAACAACTTACCACAAATATACCTCCCACAAAAGAAGAAGATGCTCAATTATGTCTAGATTCAAAAATCGATACAATCTTTGATTCAGCGGAAAGTGAAACATACATTTTTAAAGGTAAATATGGATAATTTCAATTATTTCTGACGTTAAATGTAACAACACTTACAGCGATTGATAGTATTCCACAGTATCAACAATTTCCATTTAGTCATTATTCTGATCATAAGAGTAATTAGGACCTTAGCCTCTTTCCTAGATTTTGAAACCACTAAACCTATATAGGACCTTATACGGCATAGTTTTGTGATTTTGGATTGTTTACGATCTCTCAGTCAATTTTTGAGCTAGAAGAAAAATGAAAAAACCAAATTGTATGATTTTTTGAGCCCTATAAAGTTAGATAGATCAAGAAATTGTTGGCACGAAATTTGAAATTTGAGAGCGATTTAAAAACATTGCAATTCGATTAAAAAAACTAAGATATTGTAATGTTATTTAACATCTATTATTTGTATTTAGTTCGTTCTTTCGTAGTCTGTCGCGTTATTGAGTAAGAATTTAGTTGAAATTGAAGTAGTGATATTGATATTGAATTTAGAATTAAACTTATACAATGAAATATATATGATTGTTTGGTATGAAATTAAGAAAAGATAGACTTTGCTCTAGTTTCTTATGGTCTGAAGTGTCCTATAAGCAGAACCTAAGTCTCTCTTTGAAAAAAGAATGTGATTCAGCCCAAGTGTCTCATAGCGCAAGTGTTCTATATGTCGAGCATAAATCACAATATGAAAGGGAACGCTTGCTTAGATAATCACAAAAGAGAAACAACTTAGGTATAAGCAAAGTTTATTCAATCTTAAGCACTCACTTTACAAGACTAGGGGAGAATATCTCTCACCTGTGCAAAGTTGAGCCTATTTATGAGGTCTGTCTGGAAAGTATCGGGCCTACCTTTATATTTTCGTGCTAGCGTTATTCTTTATCATCTGGTGGGTGGCATCCTTCAAAGTAATCTCCACTTGATTGAATAACACGGTTCCATCGATGTTTCCACTTTTTAAAACAGTCCTGGAACTCACTTTTAGGGATAGCCTTAAGTACACTCGTCGCATTGTTTTCAACCGTTGTTTTGTCATCGAATCGGTGTCCTTTGAGTGTTTTTTTAGTTTTGGAAATAGCCAAAAGTCACAAGGGGCTATATCGGAACTGTATGAAGGTTAATGCGATATTGTGTTTGCTCAAAAACTGCTGCACAAGATTGGATGAATGCGCTGGCGCATTATCGTGATGGAGAAGTCTTTTCTTCTTATTGCATCACGCAAACGTTTTAAAATTTCAACGTAGTATTCTTTATTGATTGTCTGACCTATTGGTGTATATTCGTGATGTACAACACCTTCACAATCGAAAAAAACAATCAACATTGACTTAACATTGCTCCGATTTTGACATGCTTTTATTGGTCTTAGCGATTCAGAATGCTTCCACTGTGAATATTGTTGTTTTGTAGCAGGATCATAACCATAAACCCATTATTCATCACCTGTAATAACTTTTCTAAGCACATTATCATCATTATTGACCATTTCCAGATTGTTCAGAGCGATTTCTAAGCGATGGTTCTTCTGCTCTGCTGTGAGCAATTTTGGGATGAATTTCGCACACACGCGTTTCATTCATAAATTTTCGGTTAAAATTTCTGAAATGATAGTTTTTGGTATCCCAAGGTCTTCTTCTAGTTCTCGCACAGTCATACGACGATCTTGTTCGATTGCAAGTCGCACCCGCTCAATATTATCTGCGGTTTTTGTCGTGGAAGGTCGGCCGAAACGAGAATCACTATCGACAGAAGTGCGACCATCCTTGAACCGTTTATACCACTCTTTTATTCCTGTTTTACTCATACACTCGCTTTCAAAGACCTTTTGCATTATTTCAATAGTTTCCTAACTCGTTTTTCCGAGTTGAAAGCAAAATTTGATGCAAATTCGTTGATCTTGTTTTTCAGTCATTTTTGACAATATCAAAATCCGACGAACGCGAAAAAGGCACTGTAAACAAAGACACGCTGCGCATGAACTATACGTCCGGTAGGTGTCAGTAAGTAACCAATAGATTCGTTAGACTTTACTGTTGACGTTTCTGTCCGGTAGAGGTTGCTCGAACACTATGGCGCGAAGATATAAACGTAGGCCCGATACTTTCCGGACAGACTTCGTACACACAAATTTTAGAGCCCCAGATTGCCCTTTTCACGCTGTTTCTGCAAATATGTAAAATCATTTTCTCTTGTTTACAATATAATAGATAGCGCTAAAGAATATTCAAATAGCGTAAAAATACAGAAGGCAATATTTAATCATAATTTACACTTATCGCAAAAATCGGAGAAAAATGCTATTTACTAACAAAGATATTAATTCCATAGTCTAAATTTTACAATAAAATAATTAAAATTTTTTATATTTGAAAAATAATTTATCGCTTATACACATCATTACAAATAAGAAATATTTAAATTGTTTAATAGAATTTTAATAATAATTAATTTATTTTTTTGGCCAAATCGCTTTATTACAATAATTAATATTTGTAAAGTTATAAATAAATTAAATTTATACATGAAAATTCAATAAAAGTACTTGAAAATATGATAATCTTAATATATGCCTTAAAATCTATATAAAAAAACCTTTAGTTAATTGAAATAACGCATTTTACTTTGTAATGCGGTACATTATAAGGCTTTGCCTGAGAGTGTTGCATTATTTGCAACACCTCAGGAAAGCCATCCCCGTCCCTTGCCGCCCCGTAACCAGCTGTATAATAACGCTCAGACGCTCGCTAACCAAACACTTATTTCTTTTCATGTCCGTACACCAACACCGGAGAAATTAACGAAGCAAGCCGATGAATGCGATCCAACGGATATTCGAAAATGAAGCGCACTACATAAAATAAGAAAGCGCACGCGCACACACTCACGACCACGTGTTGCCGACCAGAAAAAAAACACGGGAAACTTAATTGGAAAATCCAACGGAAATGCATATTGATGACACATGCAGGTCCGTTACACTCCCAGACACTAGCAGTAACACCCGTAGAATGCTGGCACACCTGGGGCTAGCAGAAAATCGTCGATGAAGTGGCAGCCGGCAATCAACTGTATCAGGCTGCTGCGCACCATCGGCGACATCCTGAGCGCCACACAGTCACACTGATGCTGACCACTAGTGACACCCGGAGACACGAACACAACACTCGAACACACACATCACAATACCGAAACAGAAACGCTCTAGGAGGCACTCCAAAGACCGGTATCAAGACACAAGATGCACGCGAGAGAGCGAGCGGACATTTTGAAGCGCCGAGACAGACTGAACACGAGCGAGCGAGACAAACTAAACAAGAGCGAGCGAGATAGACTATATGAAGCGAGCGAAATGATAAATACTATAGAATTAAATGTAAATGCGAAGATGAGGGCGCTACGAATGAAACAACTTTAATTATTTTATTATGCACAATTAATTAAAGTTGAATTTAAGTATGAAAAATGGAAAAATACAGAAGTAGGAAAATTTGTATGCGACCAACACACTCTTTTATGGTAATGATAACCGACAAACATTCCGACAAATTAAACTGATAAATTGACTGACAAAATTCGAACTTCTGCCGAAACTCGCTGGTGACGTCACGGCCATAAGGGAATTAAATGATACTGAGATGGGTGATTCGAGAAAAAAGACTCTCAGCTAATCCTTCCATGACTCGCAGCCAAAGAATTGACACTTTTCCACCGTTTGCAAGAACGTTATGAAATGAAGATCATGAAACTGACTCTAACAAAACAGTCAACCAGTCTCCAAAAAAAAATACGACAGATGCAACGTCAACAGCAGGCAAAGAGTTAGAAACAGACAAGCGACTGACAATAGATACAAATCAATTAATTGATCTACCACTCGACGTAGATATCGTTCGTCGACAAGCTACGCCACCATAACAACTCTACACAACTTCGCCAACATGGACATGGAATCAGACGAATGAAACAGAACCAGGTAATACCAATAGACAAACAACCAGAAATAGAGAGACGGACATAGCACAAATCACTTCAGATGACGACTATTCCCGAGCTCAGGCACCACGTTCGCCGTTATACAGCAGACCTCGAAATATGCGTATTAGACAGTCAAATTGGTCAGACAGCAACTCTGAATCAACGTCAGAAATTGAATAAAAGACTCGCAGACGACCGAAACCACTACTCAAGAAGCGAGTAACTTGCGGTATAACCCTGTAAACAAAAAGACGTCTAAAAGATGACTTCCAGACGTCTTTTTTGAGATATCAGATGTCTTCCCAGACGTCAGAAATGACATCATAAAGTCATCCTGTAGACATCGAATGTCCATCCATTTCGATGTCTTAAACGATGTCTGTCTGGATGTCTCTTAGACGCCTTGAAGACTTTTCATAAAGTCAACATCAAGACGTCTTATTCATTGATTTATTTCAGGCTTTTTAATAGGAATTAAAAAAATAAAATTATTTAATTCATTTCAAATTATAAAATTTTTTTATTCAATAGAGTAGAAATGCACGTCGATATTACAAATTATTGTACAGATCAATCACAATTTAATTGTGCTTTGCAATTTTTGGCTCGGTTTTAGTTTTATACATATGATATGAGTATCTTATACATGTACAACAATACTTTTCTTTTTCATTGAATATCTTATAAAAGTACGCAGCTAATTATCAGTCAGTGTTCATATCACATTAATTAATATCACGTTATTGATACAGATTGTGACGGTAAACGTCAAGTGAGCGCTAACCATTTAACTTCATTGCTGTCTGTGAGGGCAGCACCTCCCGGGGGGGACAAAATACGTAACGAAGGAATTCGGCACGCGAGCAGACGGAACGCACGCGGTAGAATTCGAACCAGTGAAGCCTAGATCATCCTAGCGTCCGCCCGCTTTCGTTACCGCTATCGACAATTCACGTGCCCTTGACATCCACACGCTTCAAAACAGCAGTAATTGGTGATCCCGGATTGCAGCCGCCAAGGAGCTACCCAGCTACGA